ACTAATAAATCTTGAATTAATAATATAAAATATTATGCTTAATGCTATGTTTTATGTATTCTATGATATAATATTATAACAGATAATAATATTCATAGATTATGATATATATTATGCCAATGATAATATTACGCTATTATAACTGGAATCAAAAAATCGAAAAATGTAAAACAAAAAAACGCGGCAACTCTCCGTGATAACTATTAATTCCGTATCATGGATGAAAAATGTTGAGATAATCATTTTTTCTAACTAAGTTTATTATTGCTGACATGATAAGGGCTAAATGCGTAGTCCATCTATATTATGTCTATGCAATTTGCTTCCATGATTGAAGGTGATAACAATCTGGAATGAACACAGTGAAACAGATACACTATTTTTTTTTTATAAATAGATAGGTACGCCACAGTAATAAATAATGAGTAATAGCCAACACAACAATTTTTAATTTATTTATAATTACCTATATAAGTTTTAAGGAGTAAGTTATACTAAATAATTAATCACAAGGCTTGCATTGGGTTTCAGACGTTTCAGTGTTTACTTCGAACATTAAAAGTTACGACGTTCTACTACACCGAATTTGTGTTATCATACAGTTATTACGAAATACGAATATCGGCTGCTTCGAAAAATCACATTCCACGTTTGTTACTTCGAATTTCTAAAATAATTGAATTAATGAACTATTTCCACGATATGTTAATATACCTATTAATAATATCGGCATAAGTCTAGTTTAGCGGCCACTCGAATTTTTCGATTTTTTTTTTCGGAAACCTATGTATTTAACGAGTATTAAACGATGGTGTAAAAATAAATTTGCGGTAACCATTAGTTTTGAAGTTATAGACTTACTATATGTTTTGTTAGCGGCACTCGTCGCTCCGCCCCGCAAATCGAAAATATCCCATCCCTCGACTTGCTATGCAACACCACCTCAAGTAGGTCACAGGGTAAGTTATGTCATATAGACTTGCATCCTTAGATGTTTAATGTCAGTTTGAATATATACCATATTTCTTAATATACACTTTAATATTTTTTGAGTACCTATAACAAGTTTGAAGTTTAAACTAATACAGTTTTAATTGCTAGTAGTGTAAACTCCTCTAGATAGCGTGGCGTATGTGCTTGACACTATCTGGAAGAGACGTGGTTTTGATAATTAGTTGTGTTGTGATGCGCGTTGAGTAGCGACTGGTGACCTGCGCCGTCGCGAGGTTGACCTGAGTTTATTCATTTTGTTTTTTTTTTACTCTTACATTGTTTTAATAAACTGTTTCTCTAAGCCGTTATTCGTCTTATGTTATTTATCCACGTAGGGAAAGTTAACATAAATTATCAGAAGTGGGATATCGGAAGTATTTAGTGGAACGTGGTGCGCTAGATCACACGTCGTCCGTTGACGTTCGAAAACCGTTAATTTGAAATCGCACGTTCGGAAACGAGTTCCGAACAGTTCGCGCCGTTCGTGGTATTTAGTATTTCGTGGTGCGTCACGAAAATCTGGCGAAATTCTATTGAAAAAAAAAAACGTGGTTTCGTCGTTGAGTTTGGACATAACCTCTACCGTTGTTGTTGTTGTATGTGGACGTGGTTGTTGTTGCTGTAGTTGTCCGATCCGGTTACCGTGGTTACATTGAATCGAATGCGGTATCGTTCCGATTATTAATCGTCGTTATCACTGTTGTGATTGTTTGTTTTTAAACACGGTCTTAGATTATTAGGTCTGGCAACTTGATAATGGAATCCGTGCTCCTAATGACCGGACAGRGAATAGTCATGCACATGTGTCACTATCTAGCGGATKAATGTTTTTCATTATTATTTAATAACGGAAACCACGGTCTCAGRTGCATTTGTTTTACTGATTAATAAATAGCATGTACTACATTTCGACTTTCGAGTGTAATTACACCTATACGTGCCTGCGTCAAGGGTGGCTCCAGAGACATGGTTGGTGAGGGTGGGGGTTCATAATTTTTGGAAAAYATTTGATGTTATAATATGTTTTTTTTTGTAATCATTTTTAAAATATGTATACATTTTTTTAGAAATATGGGCATGGGAGGGGGCCTATGTGTTAGTGTTTTGGACTTATGTCTATAAAATGCTAATATAAATATTTTAAGAAAAATGTACGTCTATAATTATGATTATATAGTATATACTAATTACTAGAATAAGGAATTACGAAAACAAAATAGTTGATTTTGTTGAAATCTTGTTTTTCGTAAAAATTAYCGTTTTCCCGATTTWGTGAAGTACCTAGGTACTGTAAATTTTCCGAATACCTACAAATAAAAGTACAAAGCTACCAGAAATACTCATTAAATTTAAAGATTGAAGCATTTTTTCATCTATAAAACGTGTATACAAACACAGAAAGAAAARCATTGTAAATCCAATACATTGATCTCCCCGCCTAAATCTAATACATAAACAAAAATTGCGCCAAAATGTATAAAAACAAAAGTATATTGTTATGTAATTTAACTCGAACGACGAGCGTTTTTAATTGAAAACACTTTTAGTAGTTTTAAACTTTGTATCTCATCATGCCAAAAAAGTGTGCTATATGTCATAAAGGAACAGAAGGAGTTCCAACTTTTATAGTTACTCTTAAGCGGAAAGAGAATTGGGAATTTGTAGTTCCGATTCCATTATTTGTTGGTGATCGAATATGTCAAACACATTTTCCCAAATCTTTTTTAATAAAAGAAAATATAAAAGACGGTCCGGAACATGCGAAACGTTCAAGAGTAAGTTTAACAAACTAAATGTATAATATAGTTTTTATTTATTAGATAGGTATGATAACTGTAAGACATGTATAATAATATGTGTTTTATAATAATATAATATATTGCATTATATTATTTACATAATTATTTTTTTAACGTATATTTTTGAATTAAGGTACTTTTAAAAGCAGATGCATATCCTGTATTTGATTTTGAAGGATTAAGTAATAATATTCATGATACTTCTGGTGCAATTGTCGATGAAGGCAATATACATACAAATCATTTATCTTCCAAATCAAACAGCATTGTCAAAAAACTAGATATTACTCATGAAAATTCCTATGATGATTGTAATGAATTAGCTCTGCCTTTATTGYCAATCTCCCCAAATAATGTTTCTGGAATGGTAAACAATWATATTAATTTTATATTTCTATATTATTTTTTAGTTTTTTACTCACATAATATTCTGATATTCATAATTTTGCTTTTTCTTAGAAACAATATGGGAATAATAGAACTCAAATGTGTAGTATTCCAGTTCATACAAATTTAATAAGAGAGCCCTATCTTGATCATAGTAAAATAAACAACTCTGTAAAAAATGTTTTTGAACAAAATATACTTGAACATGGACTCTGTGCGGTTTCCTTCAAAATGGTGCAGACTCATTCCTGGAAATAGTAAAAGTGTAATATATAGTAAAATTTTATTAAGAGATATTGATTTAAAACCATACTTTGAGCGATCAGTAAGCATAGATGAAAAAGCAACAATAAAATGTTCATATATGAATGATACAATTCAAATAAGTCATCTAAAATTGAAAACCAATTTTATACAAAATATRCAGKAACTAGAGGATATAATTTGTAAGGTGGACAGTGCTATAATGTGTGAAGGAGTTAATATGCCAACAGAAGCATTAAAATATAAAACAAATACAAGGAAACTATTATTAAATATAAAAAAAACATTTTTTATGACTTTTACTATAAACAAAGAAAATATGCCTTCCGATAAAATCACTGTCCATTATTGTAGAGATAAGGATCAATGTAATAATAATATTTGCAAATCAATTTCAAAAGTACCATTTACACGATACCTGGGTATTACCTTTGATGAAAACCTAAGGTGGAATGTACATATAGATAACATAGTTAATSGTTTAAKAATATCAGTGYATAAATTCTGTAAACTTAAAGATATTTTTCCTATTAACATTGTACGTAATATATATTTATCATTATATCAAGCGGTCTTTCAATATGGCATTAGAGTATGGGGAGGTCTTACTCAAAAAGCTATTAAACCACTATTACTCAAAAAGCTATTAAACCACTACAACTGCAACAAAATAAAATTATTAGAATATGTCTAAATAAATACTGTTTAGAAGGATCTACGTCTCAAAACTATAAAGAATTTAAAGTTTTGCCTATTAATTCACTGTATAAAAAAATTGCAATTATGTGGGTAATAAAAAATAGGGAAAATTGGTTTAATATAGATAAATCCAAACAAACTAGGGAAATTAGGGCATATGATACTAAAATTAATTATACGTTAACTTCATTTGGTCAAAGGTTTGTGGATTATCTTGGTCCGAAATTTTATAACTCCCTAGATTTAGATTTAAAAAAGAAAATAATTGAAAATCCTAAATA